TTTTTTTTTTTTTTTTTTTTTGTGACCGGTAAGGGGAACGCAACCCTTGGCTTGGTGTCGCCCGTACCACGCCGAGCGCACCAGCCATCCCTATATAGGATCCGAACCCACGGTGGGAGCACCCCTGCATTCCCAGCACTGCACTCTCCCAAGTGAGGCACGGGGTGGGCCCCTCATCTTTCAATAGAATGTAGTCAGCTGCAGCAAAGAAGGGTTTCTAATCATATAGTGTCCTGAGAATTAATAGTTTATACTGTACATATGTTCAAATCATTTTTTTTTTTTTTTTTTTTTTTTTTCTTTTCTTTTCTTTTCTTTTTTGTGTGTGTGTGACCAGTAAGGGGATCGGAACCCTTGGCTTGGTGTCGCCCACACCACGCTCAGTCAGTGAGCGCACAGGCCATTCCTATATAGGATCTGAACCCGCGGCCTCGGTGCTCCCAGTGCCGCACTCTCCTGAGTGAGCCACGGGTTCGGCCCCCAGATNAGTGGTCACACAGAAGCATGGATTTGTTAAGCATTTTCTCTTTCAGATGAATATCTGGTCCAGTGAAGAATTCTAAGATACCAGTGGGCAAAAGCAAATTCAAAAAAATTAAACCAAAACAAAGCACAAAGTAATTTAGAAATAAGTTACATTCTCTACCTAAACTTGAAAGGAAAAGCAGACTGTATCTGCTTTAATAGTTTTACTGCTTAGGAAAGAAGAGAAAGCAGAGTAGTATAAATGTCTTTCATGGGGCTGTGGACATTTATAATAATTTACCCTAAATTCTAGGATTTAAAAATGATGAAAGCTGTGCCCTCATCTTTCTTTTTTTTTTTTTTNCACCTGATTTTAACTATGAAAAAGAACTTATAGCATATTATTCAGTACATAGCAGGTTTAGCTGATATTTTATTTAACATCCTTTACAAGACTGCAAGTTAAGGATTATTTTTAATGTTTTGATCATTTTAATTTTAATTTTTCTGATTACTTTTTATTGAAATGTATTGATTATACACATTTATGGGATACAGAGTTATATTTCAGTACATGTATACATAGCATAATGATCAAATCAGTGTAATTAGCATATCCATTATTACAAAGCTTAGTCATTTCTTTGTAATGTGAATATTTTATCTTCTCTGTACTAGCCATTTGATAACATACACTAAATTATTGCTGATTATAAATGTCTAACTGGACTGTACAACAGCAGAGCTTATTTATCCTATCTAGCTGTACTTTGGGGTCCATTATTCATTCCATCCTATCTAGCTGTACTTTGGGGTCCATTATTCATTCCCTCACTTTTTCCCTTCCTGCTGCTCTTTCCCACCTCTAGTAACCTCGGTTCTTCTCTCCCTTTCTAAAAGTTCAACTTATTTATTTATATTTGGTCCCCCACATGAGTGAGAATATGCAGTATTTCTCCTTTTGTGCCTGTAATTTCACTTAACATAATTTTCTACAAGCTCATCCGCGCTGCTGTGAATGGCAGAGTTTTATTCTTTTTAATGGCTAAGTAGTATTCCATTGTGTATAAATACCACATTTTCTCTATCCAATCATCTGTCAATGGACATTTAGGTTGGTTCCATATTTTAGCTATGTGAATAGAGCTGCGATTAACATGGGAGTTCAGTTATTCCTTTGACATGATGATTTCCATTCTTTTGGGTATATATGCAGAAGAGGGATTGCTGGATTGTATGGTAGATCTCTCTGTAGTTGTTTAGGAAACCTCCATACTGTTTTCCAAAAGGGATGTACTAATTTACAATCCCACCAACAATGGAAATGGGTTCCGTTTTCTCTGCATCCTCTCCAGCATTTGTTATTCTCTGTCTTTTTGATAATAGCCAACTAACTGGGGTGAGATGATATCTCAATGTGGTTTTGTTATTTATTTATTTATTATTTATTATTATTTATTATACATATATGTGGGGTACAACGTTGATTTTAAATAATTGTGTAGAATGTGTGGTGATTAGATAAGTATAGTTAGCTTATTCATCATTACAAT